AAAACCACCTCCTCGGACAATAGAAGGGGGTCGTCACTTCCTTCTGATCTTCCCATAAACTTCAAGCAAAAAACTGCGCTGAGATGCAGTTCAGGCGAAGCCCATTTAACTGGAAGGGAACGGCTTTTTATTCAGCAGAATAAACTAACTTGCTGGGAAATATTTTAGGAGCGCAAGCTGGGGCTGGGCTCCTACTCGAATTAAACCATAATAGATTTGTTAGGCATTGTGCGGACCAAGCCAGGCGTGTTTTGTTCAATAAAACACGGTCGCTCTGAGCGAATGAATCTGGCCTAAAAAGAATAACTTCTATGGATTTTGGCACGTTTTGTTATATTGCTGGGCCGATGTAACTCAGTCATGAAGATCGGCTTTCCACCGCAGTGGTGGTTGACGCTAGAATAAACCACGTCGGAAAAAGTTCCCGTGGCTGATACATTGTCCCCAGCAACAACAGCTGGATGATGCAGCGAACCGCGATGGGAAACAGACCCTCCGCGGCGACCTGCTTCTGAACAAACCTGGAAAACGTTGCAACTAAAAACGAAGCGCTTTGCCTAGTCCACAAATCGGAGTGAAAATTAACACAATTCCGAAACGGAGATCGCTCAATCCTTCAGTGGGGGCGCGCGCGCGCGCGCACTACAGCCGCGGTTCCTTGCTGCCCGATTTGGAATATTTGCTGTGGCTCCCCCTTCCCCACTCTTCGGGTTCATAACAATTAGTAACTGCTAATTAATTAGCTGCCGGTGGGATCCACTGTCTCGCCTTAAATAGTTTTAGTTCTTCGGCCAAAGGGCCAGCGAGGGACCCCTTTCGCTGGCTGCTGCATTTAGTTTCAAACGGTAGCAAGATGCTTTCTCTTTCACGTATTCATTTGACAGGTACCAATTAAAATTTTTTAAAAAAATTATATAGTACAAGTAAATAAGGGACATTTAATAAACACCTAACTTCAGTAGGGAGCACGCACTAGCATTACTAACCCAGGGATTCTTTTCTTTGCAGAAACAGGCAAGGGGCGAGGCGAGGCTATTTCTCCAAAAAATGAAGAGCGTCCCTTTGCTTTTCACCAACTGTAGAAGCATTTTGCTTCCAGTATTGCCATCACTGCAAATAAATCGCTATTAATATGCTTAAATTAAAACCTCCTGTTTTATTTTGGCAGGGAAAGATATCTCTCTCTGAATCTCTAATGTCCATGTTTCCTTTATCTTTCTGACAGCTGTTGATCACCAAACAATTCTGGAAATTGTCCACTTTCAACTTGTGTACCTGTGTAATCAAGGCATTGTTTAAAGCAAACTAATGTGAGCTTCCCTTAAATTTAGCAAACTGGTCTCATGGAATTCTGGGAAAGGTTTCTATGAAGTTTGGACAGATGGGGGTTGAGGGGTGTGTGTGAGACACATAGCCTAGGGGTTATGGATTAACCTTAAAGTCAGAATACCTTTACAATTAGAAAGGAACACTGCTCCAAGTTTTAAAAATAGTATTAGATACTATAGTTGAATAAGGTAACCTTTTTAAAAACTTTACTAGTGCATTCTAAAACATAAATAATGTTATAGTCCTTATTTTCTCTTCTCCAAAGCATTTCATTGCTAGATAAGAAAAAAAATAAATCGCACAATAAAAGCATAAATTAATACTTAAATTACAACCTTTGATTTTTACATTTAAAAACCATGGATGATTTTTTTTAAGTGCTGTTGCTTCTTTTAAATTATATATATATATATATATATATATATATATATATATATATATATATATATATATATATATATATATATATATATATATATATATATATATATATATATATATATATATATATATTCAAAAAGAAATAACTCAGTTTATGTAAATTCACAGTTCAGAAGATAATTTCATTTTTAAACAATATGTTTCTTGTGATCTTAGTTTGAAGCCAAGTTGTATGACTTCAAGGGACATTTTCCTGGGTTGTAAATTAACAAGAATGTTATTCATATTTTTATATGCAATATACATTTTTAAAAGTCAATCAGTATTATATTAAAGGATTCTACTAACATCAAGTTTCTTAAATATTTAGAAATCCCATGAACATGGACTAAAATGGCATCCTTTAGTGGAAGAAGGGATTGGAAAGAAAGAATTCCTATATTGTTAGACTAAGTGTCCTTGAACATAGGCCTGGAAGAAAGTTCTTAATAAAGATGGTAGAAAATCAAAAGCAAAACAGTACATTTTCTGTGCCAAAAGATAATGAGTAGTAATCTCCAATTCAAAGTGATAGATAATTAGATAAATGTTTCTAGGAACATCCTGGAAATGGAAAGTTTATTTTTCTTTGAAGCGGAATTTGGACTAGAAAGCTAGTGAAAAAGCACACATATGTGGAGGGAGTAAAACAATATAAATTGTCAGGTGAGGAGCAACATGGCATATCTGACTCAATTTATTGAATGCAGGAACTTTTAGAGGATGAAGTCTAAAACCTGAAGATGAGACCAGATTTAGAGGTAAAACTTAATCCAGGGAAAAAAAACAGGTCTTAATTCCTGTTCCTTCTAGAAGCACTATATCAAGAGGGTGGAAAATATCCAAGCAGTAGGGGTAAAAAGAGTCACTCTGCACATCAACAAAAGCTTCATTCTATACCATCTACCTTAGAGCTGCTATTGGATTTTTCCAGGTGGCTTCCTGAACAATTTCTACCTCCTGTAGTAAGTTATTTATAGAGCACTTCAGTGTACCTGGTTGTTTGACATAGCAATGAAAACCAGCAAAACAACAGAGCTGTGCCCAGAGGCATGTTCAATCTAGATGGGCTGGGGAGGAAAGGGACGTTTCCAGGAAAGATATAAACAAATGCAGTTAGCAAAAAGAAAGTTTTATTCCAGCAGGGTGAAATGACTTTGGTCAGAAATAAGTGAGATGTCACATTTAAATTGCTTGCATCATCATTTGTCTGGATTGCTCTTAGCAAAACAAAATATATTAAAGATGTCCATGGTCTCTTATGCAACCTTGAAAGAGTACCACAGGCATGTAAGTCAACTGAACACTAAGTCTCAAAGCAGAATAGCATCCAGGAACCAAAAGTTACTAGAGCAAAGTTTTTTCAACCTTGGCAACTTTAAGATGTGTGATTTCCAGTTCCTAGAACTCTCCAGCCTGCTTGCTGACTGGTGGCAGCATGAAGCCTGGGGAATTCTGGGAGTTGCAAAAAAACACTGAGCTGCAGGCATTCCCCCTTCTCATTTGGTACTGTTCAGACAAGTTTGCAATGCCTATTATCTCCAGCCGGCTAGGTCAATTTGGCCCCTTCCTCAATCTGATCCTTTCCATCAAGATTGGAGTAGTTATTTTTACTTTCAACATTATTAATTTTACTGTTTTTCTTGCATCTTTGCACCAATTCTTCTATTAAGAGTCTTGAAAGCTTGCACATTATTTCATCACTGCTCAACTATTCATTAAAATACAAACCCTAACTAGTAACCTTTCCCAACCTAGTATTCTCTGGTTTAATTTGACCTCAGCACTCATTGTGATCACACAATCTGAAAAGCAATATCCCAGTTTCTAAAGGTCTTGAGGAGAGAAACTAATGAGATTTCCTCCTCTGGCTGCTTGGGCATCAGAGGTGCATTACTCAAGAGCTGCCTGTTTGCCCCCAAGAGGACTGCCTTTCTCCTCCTTAGATCCATGTGCTAGAGCTTCAGTCGTGGCCCTGTGAAGTTTTGATGCTTATCAAATGGACTTCAGGAACAAGAGGTTCAGGAGGAGCAGACCCTTTCCACCTGGTAATGGGGATGAGGGGGGAGAAAAGCAGAGAAGAGAAACTGGTGCTGTTTCTTTGGAAAAAAACTGGTGGGGGACGAGGAAGAAAAGAAATAAATGTTCACCAAAATACGTTTTTTAATCATGTGCAAGCTATTCCATCTGATACTTCATTCAAGTTAAGATCTGTCTCTCTAATTGTACGATCTAAGGATGGCATAACACAATGGGTTGTAATTTATTTCATCGCAAAAGCATTTTTTTTTTCATTTTCTAAAAGGTAGCCTTTCTGAATAAAGTGTTGGGTTCTATTTCTTTTGTCATTTTTATCTTAGTTTAGATTTCCAGAGATTGCCAGTAAGGATGCAGGGACGAGAAATCTCATATAAGTAGACCGCCGTCCCATAGACTCCTTACTTGTAAATAATTGTGCAGTAATTGAAATGCTTGCCTCAACTCAGATCTAAGAGTGTGCTGCAAACGAAACGGCAGGCAATGCAGATTTTATACTGAGCAAATGCAAAAAAAACAACCACCAAAAACATTTCAGACACTTGTTGGAGTGGCCTCAAATTTTCGATCCATTTTTGATTCACATTCTCCAGGAGGAATTGAGGACTCTTTCATCCCACGGAGGAGAGGCCAATGTGGCTCAACCCTCTTTGCGTGCAATGGAACAGGGAAGTCTCGTCTAAATTTGCGACCTTAGCTTTATTTTTGAACGAACAAATTCAGGATAACTTTTAATTTAGAAAAGGGCAATTCATATCTCTCTCTCATTAATTCTTAATCTGCGTGTCAACCCATCCCCCCACCCCCAATAAAGGAAAGGGTAACATTCTTCGTTAGTGACGGATACTAATACTGATTTGTTCCATTCCTATACCTCCCATTTCTCCTCAATTCCCTCGTAAGGCTTCGAAAACAGCACATTTCTGTCCACATTCCTTCAGCCCCCTTCCTTCCAGATGTGCTGCACTATAACTCTCATTATTCCGGAGGCCGTGGACCTGTTCTCTCGGACAGCGGGAGCTGTAGCCCAATCTTTTGGTGGCTCCAAGAAGGGGCTGTTCTCGACTGGTGTTCAAGGGTGACCGTGTCGGAATCCTATCATCCGGATAAAATAACGGAGATTGCACCCCCCCCCTGAATTAGGTGGGAGGGGGTTCCAGCCGCCCCGGGCTTGCCTCCCGCCCCTTCGCCCAAACTAACCAGCCTCCCCTTACCCGTCTCCTCCAGCCTCGTCCCGTGGCCCAGGGTGCTCGAGGTCTGCTGGTATGTCGAGAAGGAGGTGCCGTGGTGGTGGTGGTGGTAGAAGGCGTGAGGACTGCCACCGGCCGCCCCGGGGTAAGGGGGATAGGCCAGGGGTCTGCTGCCGTAGGAGGCGGCAGGAGAAGGAAAGACGCCGCCGTCGTGCGGGGTCTGCTGCGGAGGCGGCGGCAGCGGGTGCAAGGCTTGGAGCGAGTAAGGGGCCGCCAAGGTGGTCGGATGCTGCTGCGGCTGCGAGGTCTGAGGCTGCTGGTGAGGAGAAGTCGGGGCGCCCAGCCCGAAGTCCAGAAAAGCCGCTTTAGACGGGTCCGGCGGTCCCAGCAGGCTCTCGGCCAGAGAATTCATCGTCATCATCAAAAGATCTGCGGGACTTTCCGCGGCAGGACGAGGAGAAAGGCCAGGCGCCTCCGCCGCAGCATCCACGGCTCCGGCCACTACCGCGATTCGAGAGACCGGCGGCGGCGACCACTATCTATGTTGCCGCTGCCAGACAGCTTCATGCTCAAGCAGCGCCGCCTCCTTAGCCCGTGTCAAGCCAAAGGGAAGCTCCGACGTCTCTACTGCCACCTGCAGCGTCTGCAGTTGTTCTGCCGCCTCCTCGGGCCCTTCAGTCGCTCGCGTCCAAGCAACGGCGCCCGCTCCTCGCCTTCTCCCCCAAGCTCCCCCCGAGCGCCCTCTTTTCTCCACGCCTGGTCCCACAAGAGAGGAGGAAAACCACCGAGGGGACGTTTCTCCCCCCACCCCCTTTCCCCCCTGTCTCGCCCCTTCTCCTTTCATCCCCGAGCCCGCCCCTTGCCGCCTCCAATTGGCCCGCCCGCGGCATGATGTCACGAAGCCCCTGGGGACCTCCCTTCCAAAGCTTCAGCGTCGCCAGCCGGGCGAAAAAGCCGCTGCTTTCCCTCTAAAGTTCCGCCCACCAAGCCGGCTAAGCAACTCCCTCGGCCGCTCCCCCACCCCAGGGGGGAAGACAGAGGGAGAATAAGAGGATAGATTGGATGGAGTACAACAGGTCCGGGCACGTCTATTTTTCTCACCTATATTAGAGGGAAAGGAGAGGAGGAAGTCCAACTTCAAATGTTTGTCAACCCTTGGACTAGGCGGAGGACTAGCTAAAATTCAGGGGAAAACGATACAGTTGTTAATTAATACCGATGGGGGAGGCGGAGGAAGCGAGTGTCTAAATATGAAACGACTTCACCAACAGGTCTAGACAAGTCCTCCCCTCTCCCCTGGCCAATTCCCTCTAGAAATTTGAAAAGGAATCTAGATGGAATGTTTGTCAACACATTTAAGATAGGATAGGGTTCCCCCCCCCTCGTTAAGAGTCAGTTATGATGGAATAAATTTAAGAAAAAAGGGAAGGGGATTGAAATAATCAAGTTCTTTTATCAACTACTTACCCAATTGGAACCTGGTCATGGCCATTAAAAAAAAAAGATTTAATCTGAATATCTATAGTACTGTTCATGGTCACTATGTGGTCTCTCTTCCTCTTACTCCTCCTTCTCCTCCCTCTCAAGGAGTGGTGTTGACTCTTCTGTTGGATTGCTGGAAGAGGATAGAGGGCCATCAAATTAAGGGTTGCACCAAAGCAAAATTCTTCATGATCAACTGAAAAATCTGGATAGGGTTTCCACAACTAAACAAACTTTGACCCAGGTAGTAAGAGAGTATGCACGTGTGATATTAAAACATCTACCATATTTTTCCAGAATCCTTGGAGAACAGGTGAAGTACTGGATGATAAATCCATTTTCAAAAAGAGAAAAAGTTTAGACTGCTAATGAACCATCAGCTTGAAAGTTCTAATACAGATCAGTATAGTCTATGAGCATCAGAGGAAAAATGCTGTTGCTACAGAGAATTTTTAGTGAGAATAGTGACATGACAACTGTGTTAAAGAATTAAATAAAAAACAGTACATCAGAGGAATGCTATGGATGTGGTATATCTTATTTTCAACAAGTTCACCAATGAGATTCCCATTAGCAAGCTGTAAAACAATACCCCTGCCCGCATGAATTTGTAACTGCCCAGAGAAAAGTTGCCACAAAGTTGGGTATGGAGCAGAGTGGGGAAGAGAAGAATGAAAAAAATGAGAGGAAACAATGTCATCCTCAAGGAAAAGATTTTCCTAATGGTGAATGTTGATTGTCAAGTATACAAGTTTCCATGTGGAGAGGTGGACTATTCTTCATTGTACATGTTTATGCAGTATCTGTATAACCACCTGTCAAGGTTATTGCAATAATTAATCTTTCATATGAATTGAACCACATGAATTTTGAAATGTGGTTCTCTATACCAACACCATCAGAGGTGGGTTCCTACCAGTTCGCACCTATTCGGTAGAACCGGTTCGTCAAATCTACTGAACCAGTTAGAAGAGGTTCCACCAGTGGACCCGGAAAGCAGGCCACACCTACAGAAGAGGTTCCAAATTTTTTTGAAACCCACCACTGCTACGCTGCTGCGCACGCACACACACGCACACACACACACACACACAGACACACACAGAGAGAGACAGAGAGAGAGAGAAAGGAAGAAAGAAAAAAAGAAAGAAAAAAGAAAGGAAAAGAGTGAGAGAGATGAAAGAAAAAAAGAAAAAAGGGACAGAGAGACAAAAGGAAGGAAGGAGAGAGAGAGAGAGAGAGAGAGAGAGAGAGAGA